TTAGTGTAAATTTTTACCGATATCTCCCGAATTTCTTAAGATAAACCCAAAATCTAATTTCGAATTATGTATTAGATATTCCTTTTTAAATACCTCGCAATTTCATAACGATATTCCCAGTACTTCATAAGTTATGACCTCTGAAATGACATTACTGAAAAAGAAATTAAAAATGGGAAAATTAAATGTTTTTCCAATTTTGCGGACAACTCCGACAGTTAGTTAGCTACAACCATTAATTAATTTTTATTTAAAGACATACATGTCCTCTTTAAAAATCATGTACATTTTTTAAAATATCTCAGATATTTCAGAAGTTATGGCCCCCAGATAATGGTTACTTAAAAAAATCCATAACAAAGTAAATATCGAGTTAGTATTAATTTTCACCCATAACTCCCGAATTTGTTATGTTTAACTCAAAACCGAATTTTGAGTTATGTACTAGATATTTCTCTTTAAATTAAATGCAATTTCATTACGATATATTTACTATTTCTAATGTTATGGCCTCGATAATGTCATTGCTCAAAAAATGAGCAAAATTGGTATTTTACATTTCTTTTTTCATGTCACCAAAATCTATTCGATTTAGTAGCCTACGCTCATATTTTAATTCCGAAATTTGAAGATTCGTTAGTTCTCTATTAATTGTATGTAAAACTCTTATAATATCCCTAGAAATTCAAAAGTTATGGTCCATAGATAATCGTTACAAAAAAAAAAAAAAAAAAAAAAATTAACATAATTGAAAATGTTCGGTTTTCATATATTTTTACCGATATCTCTGATATTTGGTTAGCTACATGCATATGCTAATTTTTAATTAAGCCTGAGATCTTCCTTTTTCATAATCAGGCAATTTCTTTTAAATATCTTCAATACTGTAAAAGTTATGGAAATACGTTACTGAGGAAACTATCAAACTTTCAAAAATTCCCTCTCTCATTAATTTTTTCTATAACTCAGGTATTTGATGAGATCCCTACAAAAGTCATTTTTTTATTTAATCCTCAGATATTCCTCTTTCATAATCACCTAATTTCTTTAAAATATCTTCAAGACTTACAAAGTTATGGCCCATAGAAAATTGGTACGAAAAAAATTACCAAAATTGAAAAATCCGGGTTTTCATTTATTTTTACCGATATCTCTCGCATTTGACTAGATACGTACATAAGTGAATTTCTAATTACGTCTCAGAAATGTATTTTCTTTAAAGAAATGTATTTTCTTTAAATTATCTTTAAAACTTTGAAAGTTATGGGCCATAGAAAATTGGTACGAACAAAATACTCAATATTGAAAACATCCGGGTTTTCATTTATTTTTACCGATATCTCTCGCATTTGATCAGATCCATACAAAATATATTTTCTAGTTAAACCCCAGATACTCCTCTTTCAATAATATGTACTTTCTTTAAAATATCTTCAAAACTATCAAAGTTATGACCCATAGAAACTTGTTACGAAAAAAATACTCAAAATTCAAAAATCCGATTTCTCATTTATTTTTACCGATATCTCTGGTATTTGATCAGATCCATACATAAGTGAATTTCGAATTAAGCACCAGTTATTACTCTCTCAAAATTATGTATTTTCTATAAAATGTCTTTAAGACTTTCAAAGTTATGGCCCATAGAAACTTGTTACGAAAAAAATTACAGACATTGAAAAATCCGGGTTCACATTTATTTTTACCGATATCTCTGGTATTTAATCAGATTCATACTTAAGTGAATTTCTAATTAAGCCAGAGACATTCCTCTTTCCTAATCATTTAAATTCTTGAAAATATCTTCAAAACTTTAAAAGTTATCGCCCGAAGAAATACGTTACAGAAAAAATTTACAAAATGGCAAAATTCGGTATCTGCTTTTATTTAACAGATTTCTCCCGTATTTAATGAGATCCATACATAAGTTAATTTTTAATTAAGACTCAGACATTCCTCTTTTCAAAACATGTAATTTCGTTAAAATATATTGACAACTTTAGAAGTGATGACCCATCGAAATATGTTACTGAAAAAAAAATCCCAAAAGTGGAATATGATAATACAGTAATCAATTTATCGATATCTCTCGTATTTGATGGGATAGATATAAAAGTTAATTTCTAATTACGCGCTAGATATTCCTCTTGCAAAAACATATAATTTATTTCAAATATCTCCAAAACTTTAAAAGTTATGGCGCAAAGGAATAAGTTACCGAAAATATGCCAACAAAATTGAAATTTTCAACAGTAGATAATATTTGAACAATATAATGATCATATGCTATTTTTTGATAGGATAAACTATTTGAATAGTTTTTATTGTTTTTTGGCATGTCACCATATTCACCCTACTCTCACAAACGCCTAAAAGTATGCAACGAAATCATAGATTTGTTAACAAGTTCAAATATTTAACCTTCTCTTCATTATGCAAATAATTTATTACCATTTTGGACTAGAAATCCCTTGATAATTAGATTGAACCTCAACCTTGACCCTCACAAATTCAGACAGATTAATTTTTTTCGGAATACTTAAATCTTTGCGACGGTTTCCTGTTTCCGAATGCATTTCACTAAAAAAACATAATAAATAAAATATGTCATATTCATATTTATTGGTATGACATAAGTAATTTTCGTTTTAGTTGAAGGCCAATATTTGCAAAAAAAAAAAAAAAAATATTTTGCAAAAACTAAAAACTGATAACAAATTTTATGTTTCTAATCTCCGCTTGGACTTGGACAAACATAAAACGTAGCGCCAGAAATTAATCTCAAATCCTCATTCTATTTTTTTTTTGAAAATTTTTGATAAGCTTTGATTTTTTGAGGCGTATTTTTTGTTGTTGCTACAATTTTGAAATTCAAAATAAATCTTGGAAATTATCAGCATAGACTTAATTAAAATGAATTTATTCAAAATCGCATTGCAAAGTTCAGAAAGGTGGCCGATATGATTTTTTGTTTCAGAAAATTTTTTGAGCGAATAAATAAAAAAAATGATAATAGTGGACCTAATATCCGGTAAAGCAATGGAATATTGTAGAAATAAATTAAATTTTTTTTAAATAATTTTAAATAAGACACCATTTTTTGAATTTCACAAAATTATAATTTTTGTAAAGGGAATTTGTTACCAAAGTGAAAAAAGTTCCCCTATTGCAAAAAATAAATTCATGCGAAATATTTGGTTATATTTCTCATTAATTTTCCAAAAAAAATAAATATTTCCCTTAGGGAGAAAAATTGCTCCGAAGGAAAAAAATATCCCTCGATAATACGTCGATTTTTTTTAATATTCATAATTATTTTCACAAAATAGGAAATTATTTCAAAAAAGGCAATTTTTCCCGAAGGTGAAAAAAAATTTGGGGAAATTTTTCCCGAAGTGAAAAATATTCCCCTCTGTCAAAAAATAAATTTTTTCGAATTGTTTGTAGTATTTTAATTAATTTTGCAACGAAATATTTTCTTTTTTATTTTGGGGAAACTTTTTCACTTTATGAAAAAAAAAAACGATCTGAGGGAATAGATTATCCATCGATTATATATTGATTTTTTTAATATTCATAATTATTTTTATTATGTTCACAAAGGTGAAATTTTTCACTTAGGTGAAAATTGTTCCTGTCTAAGAAAAATGTCCCCGGAAGGGTAGACAATACCCTTGGTGGCTTTTTTTAGTTTTACAATTATTTTTATAAAAGGAGACATTTTTCAAGACAGGGGATTTTTTCCCCCAAAGTTGAAACAGTTGGGGAAACTTTTCCCGAAGGAGAAAAAAATTCCCTCTGGGAAAAATTTCCCCACTGACAAAAAATCACATCGAAGTTTTTTGTTATATCTTTCATTAATTTCAAAAAAAAAAAGATTTTTTTTCATCGGGGAAACTTATCCCGGTGTGAAAAAATTTTTCCCTTAAGGGAAAAATTTCTCCCTTGAATATAAATTTCGTTTTTATTTTTTAAAAAACATTGAAAATTTTTTCAATTGATTTCACCAAGGTGATATTTTTTACTTCGGGAAAATTTTCCCCGTTTTAAAAAATGTTTTTAGGGGGAAAAATTCCTTCGAAAATATTTTCGAATTTTCCCCCCTTAAATGTTTTTTTAGTTAAAAAAAAATAAAAAAAATTAAGCGGGAAACAAATACCCTCAGTTTAATTTTTTTTTTTTTCATTTATTATCATATTTTATGACATTATAAAAATTTTCCCATTACGGGGAAAAAATTCCCTTGAACAAATTTCTTCCACTATGGGGAAAAATTTCCCACGAAAAAATTTTGGAATTTTCCCCCTGAAATCACCATTAATTTTTTTTACTTTAAAAAAAATCCCCGGAAAATGAAAAAAAACCTCTAAAAAAACTCTCCGGAAAACAATTTCCCCAGGGGAACTTTTTTTGACTTCATAAAAAAATGTTCCCACTAAGGAGAAAAAATTTCCCGGGAAATTAAAAACGGCCCATTAGGGTAAAAAATCCTCCGAAAAAAATTTCAAATTTTCCCCCTAAAAAATTTCATATTTTTCTTAACTTTAATTCTCCGGAAAATAAAAAAAAATTAAGCGGGAAAAAAATTCCCTAGGTTTAATTTTTTTCATATTTTTTTCATCAAAATTCCCTTGAACAAATTTCTTCCACAATGGGGAAAAATTTCCCACGAAAAAATTTCGATTTTATTACTTTTAAAAAAATCCCCGGAAAATGAAAAAATCGCCCATTACGGGGAAAAAATTCTCTTAAAAATTTGTTTTCGAATTTTTGTTTTAATAAAAAAAAATCTTCGGAAAATGAAAAATAACCTTTAAAAAAACTCCCCGGAAAACAATTTCCCCTTTTATGTGGAAAAAATTCCCTCGAAAAAATTTTGATTTTCCCCCCAAATTTTTGAAAAAAATTCTAATAACTATTTTTCATTCTTCTTCTTCCAGATATCCAATTGAAAAACTCTAATTTTCGAATTTCCTTTACCCCGCAACACTTCGCTCACAATGAAGGCCCTTAGCCTTGTGCTATTGGCTATGCTGGTACCATGGAGTACCGGTTATAGTTATGGACGTGTTAGTTCCTATGGTGGCCAGGGTAGCTATGGCTCTGGTTCATATGCCTACGGAACATCTGGTGCTGGATATGGTTCCAATTATGGTTCCTCAGCTTCGACTTATGGTTCGGGATACAATAGCGGTTATGGCAGTGGCTCATACGGTTCAAGACGTTGTGATGGTACCTCGTGTTCGTTTGGCAGTAATTCTGCTTATACCTCATCAAGTCAAACATCGTCGTCGTCTTCGTCAACGACTTCATCGGCTTCGTATAGCTCGTGTTGTGCCTTGAACTCCTGGGCCCAACAGTACTTGGTGGAGATTCGCGAATTCTCGGCCCGTTTGAGACAGGAATATAATAGTTTAATGACTGGATCCGGACATGGTTATAGCACCACCTATACACCGTGGTCAGGTAAGGAGAGGGGGAGGGGAGATTTTATTTTCTTCAATTGTGGGAGGATTTTAATTTTTTTTTGTTTTTTTTCTTTTGCAGAACGCATCATCAGCCTGACCGGCAAAACCTCGGGCGAACTTGATGCTATCTGCCGCTTGCAGGCTGAGGAATTGCTGCAGGACAAACGCAGCGGTGCCCTTAGCTACCAATTGATTGCCCATCCCAGTTTCTTTGAATGGAAATCCTCGGAGGTCTTGTACCGTTACTACGCCGTCGATAATGGCCAACAGCAACAACAAACTTTGGACCTGGGTTTTAAACCCGTCGATTTGAGTTCTTTCGATGATGTCAAGACCTATAATTACCCCACTGAAGTTAAGGTTATCGATGGCAAAACCTATGTGGTCCACAAAAATGTTACCGAGGCCCATAAGACATCCGGTACCGGAACCTTGGACAACCCCTATGTTACCCTGATCAAACGCAATCGTACCATTATTACAAATGGCCCCGCTGGGGTATATTCTACCCCTAGTTTGGGTTTCACCACGGGTTCATATGTTGTACCCAGCTCACCCAGTGTGAGCTATGGCCCCGTAGGAACCACCACAGTGACCCGCAAGAAGACCGTCTACGATTGGGCCAATCAAAATATGGAACCCAGTGTTATTGGTTATCGTCCTGCGGTGCATTTGGAAACCGGTAGCTATACCCGTCCTCCTGTACACATTCCCGTCGATAGTGGTTATGGCTCAGATGTGGAGACCTTCAGTGCTGGGTATAGACCTAGCTACGGCCCGGGATCCACCGTGAGTGTGCAACGCGTCAATAAGACCATCATTAAGGACCACACCGGCAACGTGATCAGTTTATCCGGTACCCAGAGCCATAAAAAATGGGTCGATGGTAAATTGGTTTATGACACTGAGAGACCTTTCGGTGAATGGTCTGTGCCCCGCGATGAGGCCTGGAAACGTGAGGAACGTGAGCGATTCTTCTGGTTCCTGACTTCGGGTAACACCACACCCCAAAATCTCGAAGCCTGGGAGCGCCAACAGGAGGAACGCCTTTTGGGTCTAGCAGAACGTAACCACTGCACCCTAGACGATATCCATGCCTTCCATCGCACCGAATTGGAACGTTATCAGATTCTCTTGGCCCAGTATAACTCCCAAACCGATGAACCCGTGGAGTGGAAACGTAAGGAACGTGGCCGCCTCGATTGGCTCGTCCATCAGAACAGCATTACCCGTGAGGAGTTGGAACGCTGGCAGCAGGAAAATGCCGATAAACTCAATCAGTTGGCCCGTCAATATCAAGTCCCAGTGCAGGATCTCAAGAACTGGCAGTTAGAGGAATTGGATCGTCTCTATGTCTACTTCAATGATCAAAATAACTCCATGATCCCCCTACCCACCGATTCGCTACGCACCGATGAACAGCGTCGCCTGGAGGAACTGATCCGTCAACACAATGCCACCATTGATCAGCTACACAATTCCATTAAAATGGATCAAGAAAAGCTCAAGGACCTCTCACAGGTCTACAAGGGTAATGTACAGGATATGGAAAAATGGCTCAAGGAAGAATTGGCTCGCCTCGGCGGAATCATCACCGAGACCCGTGAAGAAATGAATCGCATCACTGAATGGCAAAAATCCGAACGTAGCCGTTTGGAAAATATGGTGAAACTCCACCAAGGTTCTGTTACCGGTATCGATGAACAAATGGCCAAGGATCGCGTCTATCTACAAAACCTTGCCAATAAATATCACGTCAGCATTGAAGAGCTCGAGAAATGGCAACGCCAAGAACTGGAACGTCTGCAGAACGAAGGACAAATGCAAATCGAAAAGGGCATCAAGGAATGGCAGTTGCGCGAACATGAAAATCTCAAGAAGTTGATTGCACGCAATGACCTCACCATCGAGGAGTTCCAAACTCAGGTGCTTAACGATCGTCAGAGGTTGGAGAATTTGGCCCGCACCTATCATGTACAGATTGCCGAAATCGAATCATGGTTGAAATCGGAAATGAGCCAACTGAAGAATGAAGGCTTTTTGACTGAGGTTAAGAAGGAATTGGAAGACTGGCAGAAGAAGGAACGTGAGCGTTTGATGTTGATTGTCCAGCAGAGTGGTGCCACCGTTCAAGATTTGGAATTGAAAATCAAGGCCGATCAAAGTCATTTGAATAAATTGGCGGCCAATTATAATGTGCAGGTAAGAGAGGGTGGCAAAAATCCACTAGATTGACCCGGATTCTTTAAAAATATTTTTTTGTGGTTCCACACGTTGGGCGCCACAATGGTAATTACCTATATAAACTATATAAAGGTACAGTTCAGGGTAGCTGTGTAGGGTAGGAAATGCTGAGGGTCGTCCGAATACTTTAAATTAAAAAAGCATTACATTTTGTAGATCCCCACGTTGGGCGCCACCATCAAAACTATCAAGAAAATTGAAGTTCCGAGGTAGTTGAGAAGTGTGTGAAATTGTTGGTCTCCTCCGACTTCTTTACGATAACAAAATTAAAAAAATCTTTAAAATTTGAATGTCCCCACGTTGGGCGCCACCATGCAAAATAACTTGTTTCGCAGAACATCCAAGTTCCAGGGCAGTTGTGTAGGGTAAGAAATGATGGGCGTCGTCCGACAATTTTAAATTAAAAAAAAAAAATTCATTAAATTTTTTAGATCCCCAAGTTGGGCGCCACCATGAAAACTAACAAATTCCGTAGAAAATTTAAGTTTCGATGTTATATCGGAATTATCCGACTGTTTTAAATTAGAGAAATGACAGAAATTCTTTAAATATTGAAAGGCTCCACGTTGGGCGCCATTATGAAAACTAACTGGTTCCGCAGAAAATAACATTTCTGAGGTTACGTGCGGCATCCTCTGACAGTTTTAAATTAAATGAAGCAAAAAATCGTAAATTTTTCAAAAGCTCCACGTTGGGCGCCACTATGAAAACTAAATGGATCCACAGAAAATAACCTTTCTGAGGTTAAGTGGGCATCACCTGAAAGTTTTAAATTTAAAAATAAAAAAAATCATTAATTTTTCACGTTGGGCGCCACTATGAAAACCAACTGGTTCCACAGAAAATTAAATTTCGGAGGTTAGGAGCGGCATCCTCTGACAGTTTTAAATTGAATCAAGCAACAAAATCATTAATTTTTCGAAGGCCCCACGTTGGGCGCCAACCTGAAAATTAACTGGTTCCGCAGAAAGTTGCGTTTCTGAGGTTTCGGACGGCATCCTCAGACTGATTTCAATTTAAAAAAAAAAAATAAAAAATCATTAATTTTTCAAAGACCCCACGTTGGGCGCCATTGTGGAAACTAACTGGTTCCGCATAAAGTTACATTTCTGAGGTTACCAGGGCATCCCCTGAAATTTTAAATTAAAAATGAAGCAAAAATTATTAATTTTTCAACAACCCAACGTTGGGCGCCATTTTGGAAAGTAACAATTTCTGAGGTAATTGTGCGGGATATGAAATGGCCGGCCAATGCCTACAATTTGGAATAAAAAATGGAAAAAATTCTTTAAAGTTTGTAAAAAAAATCCCCACGTTGGGCGCTATTATGAAAATTAATTTTTTTATGTTTTTTTGTTTGTTTTTCAGGTCAAAGAAATCGAAGATTGGCTGAAGAATGAATTAATGCGCCTGCAGGCCCAAGGCTTGGTCAAGGTCGAGGACCTCCAGGAATGGCAGAAGACCGAACGTAATGAAATTTTCAAGCTCATCGAAAATAATCGCATAACCATTGAAGAATTTGAAAGTAAGCTTCTTAACGATCGCCGTAAATTGGCCGATTTGGCAAGGACCTACAATGTCCAAGTCCATGAAATTGAAACCTGGATTAAGAAGGAAGGTGAGCGATTGCAAAATTTGGGTCTGTTGCAGATCAAGGAGCAACTGAATAATTGGCAAATTGTGGAACGTGAGCGATTGATGAAGCTGTTGCAGGAAAATAATTATTCGATTAAGGAATTGGAGGATAAGTTGAAAAAGGATCAAACCCATTTGTATGCCACCGCCAATCAACATCAGGTCCGTGTCGAGGAAATTGAGGAATGGTTGAAAAAGGAAATCAAGCGCCTGCAGGATGAAGGTATGCTGGAGATTGAGAAATTGAAGTCGTGGCAGTTGGAATGGCGTGGCAATTTGACCACGATGATCAAGGAGCGGGATTTTACCGTGGAACAGTTCCACAATTGGCTGATGGATGATCGCAAGCGTTTGGAGGCCCTGGCCATGCAGCATAATGTGCAGATTGAGGAAATCGAGGAATGGGTTAAGAATGAGGAGCAGCGCTTTATTAGCATGGGTTTGTTGAAACCGAATGAGAAGTTGACAAATTGGCAGGAGGTGGAACGCAGATACTTGGAGAGGATTACCCAGGAGCAATACCATTCGACCGAGCAGTTAGAACAGAGATTGAGACAGGATCGTGAGTTGTTGGAAAAATTGGCCAGGGATTATCAGGTCCAGGTGGCGGAAATTGAGTCATGGATGAAGAAGGAATTGGCCAGACTTCGCGATGAGGGTCAATTGCAGATTGATAATTTAACTTCGTGGCAGATTGCCGAAAAGGAGAGGTTGGATAAGTTATTGAAGCAGAACAAAAACTGGTCTGTGGAAGAATTTGAAGCAGTGCTGAAACAGGATCGTGAACATATGCAGAACACCGCCTTCCAGTATCATGTCTCCGTGGAGGAAATTGAAAAATGGATCCAAGGAGAAGTGGATCGCCTCCAGCAACAGGGTAAACTGAATATTGAAAAAATGACCCAATGGCAAAAGGATCAGTATCAGAGGATTATGAATCTGCTGCAGCAGCAATCGAGCATCACAGCCGAAGAATTTGAGACCAAGATTGCCAAGGATCGCACGTTCCTGATGAATCTG